GAAAATATCACGAAAATTGCGTAGAATAACATGCAAGTTTAATTATGCAACATAGTTAAACATCATAGTTAAACTTATATGTTATATAATTAAACATCATAGTTAAACTTATATGTTAGTGTGCTTCACTTCGGCTGATGTTTTAGGTATGACAAAATCAGTACATCAGGCTGGCCAAATAGTCATCAGTTTACTATAAAGCAGGCAGCAAGTGGGGGAAGCCATTTTCATACTTAATGATGGATTTAGAAAGAGAGTAAATACATATTTATGTATGCAAGTGTGTATATATCTGTATATGAGTTGCTATTTATATATATATATTTTGATTGTACTCTTCTTCAAGTGCCTTGTATGCACATGTATATCTCTTTTTTGCATTTTATAAATGTCGTCTGCTCAGCCGGGACTCCCCAGGGCTTGGGCCTGGTAGCTAGTGGTTGACTCCCGCCGAGTTGGTAACCAATTCTGCATGGATATATCTATACCTGGGTCGGCCAACTCAGCGGTTTACCTCCCCTAAATACTATACCATCTGTGCGGCTGTGGAAAACTGTTTATCTACGCTTAAGTTAAAGGATTTCTGTTTCTGTGAATTTTTAGTTTGGTTTCTGTTTCTGTGAAATTTCTTCAGGTAGACCTGTTAATAATATTTTTATTTACCTTTCACTGTGCTTAAAATATCTTTAGAGAAGTCAAACGTGACGAACATGTGTGCGATAATCTTTTATATATAAATATTAATATGAATTGTATTTCATATTTAATAGTGTAACTTTATAAGGACGTGAGTCTTAAAAGGATAGTCAGCATTTTATATAACGTGAAATGGTGGTTTAGAAAACTTATAAATCTTTACAAAATTAATTTGTAGTAGTAGATATGCTACGGTGAAACACCGAAATCTGGAGAATGTCGACTTTCACCGGTGAATGTCAACATTCACATAGTCTCTTGGTGTATGTCCGAAATATTTTCCAAATACTCTTATTTCTGACTTACACCGGTCAATGTCGACATTCGCCATGTACTAATGGTGAATGTTGAACATTTTACAATATTATATTTTCTTCTCCGTAATTCAGTCGCGAATAAACGCACTTGAGACTTGAAATAAGAACTTAAGAACATGAGTACCTAACACACACAATACATTCAAAATGAGAAAGGAAAATAATAGAAGTTAAAAACTTACTTAATTATGCAGTACGTTCTAAATGAGAACAGTAATAAAAACTTACTAAATTATGTGATTCAAATCTTATTTATTGCAACAACTTAAACTATTATGGCACTTTATGACCTCTCTTTTCGACTTTCACCAGAGCATATCTGTGATTGTCGACATACACCGGTGAGGGTCCGAATATACAAGAATGTAGTGAAATATTCGGTCTTTCACCGACGTATTTGGTGAATGTTGATATTCTCCGGTGAAAGTCGACATTCTCCAATTTCGGTCTTTTACGGAAACAGATATATAAAAACATCAAAGAAAACAAACTGATGTCCAGTAAAACATTTGCCACATTTGCTCCTTTTCAAAAATAATTATTGCCTCCCTAAAAAAATAAACATAAAACACGTGAATTTTAAGCTAAAAACACCAAACTAATCATTTCTGTAATGATATAATTAAATCATGAAAGAAAATGCATTGTTACGACAGGAAATTTTCATTTTGTGGTTGGCAATAATGATTCAATATACTTTCAAAAATAACTAGTCAAGCATAGCAATCATAGCAATTTACACTACATTTTACTCTTAGTTGCTTTAGCTACTAAAATTCAAGAATCAAAATGTTCAAAAGAACTGATATTAAAACTCTGTCAAGATGATTTTCAAACAGATGGTGAAAAAATAATAATAAGCTCTCAATTTTAACACAAACTATACCAGGCTGAATACTTTTTATATGTCTTGGGTTACATTCGACCATTTTAACCATTTTAATAATTACAGTAAGTATAAAAGTTTTTACTGTAGATCTTTTTTATATAAAAGAGAATATTGTTTGTAGGCAAAATTCTGTTTGTTAGAATAGTTTATTTTCAGTATTAAATAGATAAGTAGTGCATCTCCTATTATAAGTGCCCAAAACGTGCTTTGTAACTCTTTATTAACCACAAACTATTTATATCTTATGTAAATTAAGTCAGTGTTACTTTTATCTAACGTTTACGTTTCTAAATACAAGCCAATTCGTGTATAAGGCGAGAAATAAGATTTTGCTGCAAAAATTTACTCTAAATTTTAATCCCGCGTCGAATTTTAAATCGTCCCTTTAAATATAGTTACACGTATCCAAAAATGGGATAAATTAATCGTCTAACTCAGAGTTTCTGAAAGTGTGGGTCACGAACTTCATGGGGGGTCACAGGATCTGCAGCAGGGAGTCGCCAAAAATTTTAGGAGTTCTGATATTTCTTTAACTTATTATAATTATACAATTACCAAATATTTTTACACAATGTATCTGAAAATAGATAAAGATAAGACAATACAGACAAAGAAAAACGAAAACGTTTCGTTTTTTCTTTGCATTCTTTTTATAATATAAATGTTCCTTTTACTTGCTTTGCACGTGACGTTGTCATTTTGTCTGTTAGAATTTGCACATTGTTCTATGTCTTAATATCAGAAATTAAAGTTAATGATCTAAAACTGCAATAGTATATTACGATACAAGGTGAAAAAAATTTACAGTTTCCCTCACGCTTGTGTCGGATTTGCGCAATGCTTATGGGGTCCCACAAAGTTTTCGTAAATACGTTATTATGGAGATCCTGGGGTCTCGGAAAAAAAAAAAAAAAAAAAAAAAAAAAAAAAAAAAAAAAAAAAAAAAAAAAAAAAAAAAAAAAAACCCTCAGTGATAAAAAGGCGTTGTGACTGAAAAAAGTTTAAGACGCTATGGTCTAACTTAACTAGACGTACCAGCTTGACGGTAAGTGTTTTCAGCTAGTCTTAGGTTCGCAGAAACAGGTATAAAAACATTATACACTGGCTTCCAAAGTTAAGCATGCAAAGCCATATTAGCGTAGAATACAAGAATTTTCGAAAGCGTAGTTGAAATTGAGTAGCTAAAAATGGGTGAGGATGCAGTATACAAATATTGCATGTTACACATTTGCTACCTTCATGGGAAATTTGGTGTTAATCAAAGCTCTATTTTTAATTTTCTGTTAAATTTGATGTGGGGTGCTGAATATTTGGAAGTTAGTGTAGAAAGAAAGGCTCATGGTTTTTCCTTAGTTCTTCCAACGTTTGAGCATGCATAGCATTTTGCACTTTGGCAGCAGCATAGCAAATTTTACTTTGGCTGTTAGTTGTGGTAATAACTATTCTAATGCAGTCGCAAGACATTTTCTCTTCAGTTTCCCTCTCCTTTTACGTGTAAAATACGATTCTTTATTTCTTCTACAGAACAAAATAATCCCGGACAGAAAAGAACTAGGTATTTAGCTAATTTTGAAATAAAAGCTGTCGCTCTTGCTGAGAAATACTATAGGCGGAATAGTTATGAATTTTGCACTTAGAGAGATAATTTTAGTAGAATTATAAGTAAAATTGTTGTATTTTTCTGTGTAATGTAGCGTGAGACAAACATAAAAAAGAAAGAAATGTCAAGAAAGAGATAAGGGATTGTCAAGAGATGTGACTGGTCAATGCATGCCGAAAATATCCTCACTTTCCAAGTAATTGCCGACCAGCTGAATCCTATGTGGAGGAGCGTTGTCGACCATTAACAAGAACCCAGGACCTACCGCGTTCCTGTAAAGTAAAGTTCCTGTAGTCTGTAAAGTATTTAAATAGGTCTCTACGATCTTCTCTCCGTAGTTCATAACAGTCAGGGAGCATTTGTCAAACACAAGCAGGTGTGTGGGGCCGTCCAACAGAATGCCTGCCCAAACTATTACACTTACACCATCGTAATGATCTTTTACATTAATGCTGGAAGGATAGTAACGTGTTCCGAGCAGCTCTCTCCAGATACAAATACACCGAAAATCTGTGTCCAGGCTGAATCTCTACTCATCTGTAAAAAGCCTGGTCCTCCACTGAAGTCTGGTCGAAGGCTTATGTTGTCTGCACCGCATTTCTCTAGGGGGCTGTTGAAAGCGGAACACGGCAGCGAGTCTGCTCGCATGCAGTCCTACGTCATAAAGCCTTCAGGCAACTGCAGGTCATGAAACTGGGGTTTCAGTGGCAGCATACAGTTCACTCGAGAGCTGTTGAGCTGTAGCATTCCAGTGTCGCTGCGCTGAAAGTGCCAAATATCGATCCTCATTTGTATTTGTGGATCATGGTCGACTTTATCCACGTCTTCTCAATATGGATACAGTGTCCTGAAACTCTTTCCACAAATTGTAGATGACAGTGGACTTTACATTCAGCTCTTTAGCCACCTGCATTTGTGATTGGCTTGATTACAATCTATCAACGATTCTCCATCTCATTCCATCATCCGTACGTTCATGGATACTTCATGTTACCTAATACCTTATAAAATTATCCAACTCTTGCGAGAAACACGGCGAATATTGTGAAGGAGTGAGAACATATTAATCGTCGAAAACCCTTCATGCGTTTATAATCCCTCTATAGTCACAGCTCCACAGACACGCATGTCTACGCTTAAGGATTCGAATCTGGAAATTTGCATAATTCTTCGATGGCATAATTAGTACTTCTGGTTCAATACCTTTTGCAAAAATAGAAGACATAATTTGCAGATTCTCTTAATTTTGCACGCGAGTGTATTAGCGAAAGTGGAAAACACAGCATTTTGTTTTTTATCTTGTAATACTTTGAGTTATTATTTAATAATAGTATTAATAATAATAATTGCTTACAATGCAAATGTTCAAATGTTCCGTAAAAATTATGTTCATGTCATTATTTTTATAACTGTTAGAGGAGATTTTAACCTCAACAAAGTGTGCAATTATTTGACAGTATTAAAATTAATAGCTATAGCTTGGCTTTCCTTTTCTTAGTGCTCTGCTGGAATATATTTTTTCACATCCTTGGTTTATCCTGGATTTATGTAATCACTCAGACCATCGCATACTATATATTGGATAGTTTAGACAGCCAAAGGTAAGCTTACAAACTTAACTAATTAATTTGCTTGCTATCAAATATCACATAAGAAATTGATTTTGATTAATTTTAATACGGTTATTTGATTTGGTTATTTGAAATGTGGCAAAGTACATGAGGGCTATGTGCTTCAGACACTTTGCTGTATTTGCGTTTCGTGTAAGACTTTCGTAGGGAAACTGCGTCGATTTATATTATACATAGGAAGAATTACTTTTTAATGTGGAAAAATGCTCACAAAATTGATGCTATGTAGTCTGAACTTCATGCATCAGATATTCATATCTCCGTTCAACAGATTTCTAATTATTGGGGTTATGGCAAAGAAAGCGAGGGCTCTCTGCCCAGTGGAAGGGATGTTTTCGTAGAGGATTTTTTAAAGGAAAGTGACTCGTATCCACATTACATTTCTCTGTTCAACAGAAAATGTAAATTGAGGGAAATCGTGCGCATTTAAGTGCTTTTGCTTTACAGGAGTAACATAATCGTTAACATTAATGCGATTATAAATATAGTTATCAGGAATACTTATAAAATGAAAACAATTTTAAAGTTGCAGTAGAAGTATGAAAATCGGGAGAGAGGGGATATAAAGTGGTTGTTTGCGCCATTTTTCCCATCGAACTGAGTAACAATGCAAATTCAAGGATGGAAAACTGCATGTGGATTTGAACGGATATTTTTAATTTAAAAAAGCACACTAAAGCTATTGCGAAAACTGTACTGCAGTTTAAGTTAACCTCTCTAAATTAACCTCTCCAGATGACAGATGAAATGTAAATCTAAGAATGTTTTTCTCGGATTTGATTCTAGTATTCCATAAAGCTTCTTTTCATTCCTTCTTAAGTTTCAACGATACTTCTTGTATATTTTCCAGCAGATACGTTTCACCCTTTTCACCGAAGTTCTTCATGTTTCATCTACGGTTATGCCTATCTTCTTTTCCACTGTCAAAAGTGTAAAAGTGTCATCAACATACTAAAGATGGGCAAAACTTCACCTTTAAGGGATCAGATCAGAACCGTTCACTCACTGAAGTGAACCAGTTCTTTTTAACAATTCACCGCTCATTAACGTTGATTCACCTTGATGAATGCGCTCGCAACAAGAGTGGATCAAGAGCGGTGTGCAAAGATTGGGGGGAAAGCAGAAAGATAACGTCAAGACTCCGTAGGAGACAGATTCGAGACAAGAGCAGCAGCGCCGGATCGATGACAGCTGGGAGTCCGAGGAGGAAGAAGAACACCCATAATCTACGTATTTTAAACAGATCCTCGCACTGCCAAACGGGGGGGGGGAACTCCAACCATTTGCAAATAGAGGCGATCAGTTACGCTGAGATGCGTCGGTTTATTTAATGCTTTGTTTTTTAAATACTAGATAGAACACAAGCAATCATATATGCATATAGTACAACAAAAGCACATATATATGCATATAGTATAATACACATGCACATACACACATAAAAAATGATCAGAGACATTTCCGGTAAATAATAAAGGAAAGAATGTTAGTGTTTACATAAGGGGAATCAAATTTTTGACACGCTTTTCAACAAGAGCTCTGAGTGAACTGTTAAAGAACTATCATTCCGTTTTCGCTGGAACGCTGATCATTCGCTCAGTACTGTGAATCGGTTCTTTGAATCAGTTTTGGAGCAGATCGTCCATCATAACTAATCTTCCAGTGCGGGCGATTATAGTTACGCTGAAAAACGAAATGTGTCCGTAAAGTTTGGCTTTCTTTGGGAGGATAAACTACTTCTAAACTCCTAATAGAAGTAAAGCGAATTATCGCTGTGTCTGAAGTAACTACAGGGATTTGAAAAGGTTTAAACAACCTTTTTATTAAAACAGAATATTGAACATAAATGCAGTTCTCATGCTAACAGAATCTACCACCATTTGCGACGATATAACTAAAGTAATCAGTCAAAATGAAATTTAAAATGTAGGCTAGTAGTCAAAGACTACACAATTAAATTTAAATCTGAGATGGCTTGAAAATTCTAACCTGCGTAGCAATTCAAATATCGGCAGTAATAGCGCAAAGTCGAATAATTATAAACTTATCAGCGTTGGCACGAGCTTTGTAACGTACCCACAAGAAGCAAAAACACGCTTTGTCTTAAAATCCAGAAAATTCAGCTTAAATATTCTCTAACTCAGTTTACTTTCTGGTGAGAAAATGGAAAAGAGAAGTTATAGTAAAGGATGAAATTATAAATAATTGGTTAATTTAAGTAATAAATCTTACAAGTCTGACTCAGAAAATCTTTAGTGAGAGAGATTGATTCCTAAATTTCAATGCATTTAAAATGGAATATCCGAAGTCTGGTTTCAAGGCATTTTAATGGTGTCTCTTAGCATTAGTGAAATATAATTTAACATCAAAGGACATAGGAACTGAGCGCTGAAGAAAAGTGTCCTTGAGTTTATCGTACGATTTTTACTGTCAGAAAGTAAAAAAATCTAGAAAGCAAATACTTAGCTAAAAGGTAAAATGCTGTTAATTCCAATTTGGTGACCTTTGGGAAGAGCAGAATTAAAAATAGGTACAATAAGTGATTTTCTTTAACTGAATTGGGAACAAACGAGATAACGCAACAGCGATCTTAACTGAATTTCGAGACATGAGAATTTGGGAGAATTTTAGGAATCGTGTTAACAGTTACGTGAATCTATTCAATGTATGGATTTTATTTATGATCATCATATGACCATCCTAATCAGCTTCGAAACCCATAATATTTGGATTAGAATGAATTTTATGTAAAGACTTTCTTCCTGATAACTATATAGTTGCTTCTCTCATCTTTGCGAGGACATTTTATTCCTGAAGTATAGGGATCTATGTTTGATGGTCCTCGAAACTGCTAAAGTATAATTCAAAACCTACGCCAGTGTAAGACTGCCTTTTCTATTAATTTTAAAAATCAAAATGATTCGAACATACACAAGTAATGAGGCGTATTATTATTTCAAAGGCGTATTACCCCATGCCGGAGGAAAGCAGAAACATTATTTCATCATTACCAATTGCGATTCTATAACCTTAGTTTTTCTGAAGAATCGTACTAAGCTTCACACCTCGTACTATACGATTGCCCTTTAATGACATTTATAGTCAACAGATCTCGAAATTTAAAATTTGAAAATCTGGCATGGACGGCGTGAAATGAAACGTAGATAAGTAGTAAACGTAGAAATAGCAAAGAAACAAAACTTTTAAACTAGCTCAGGATTATCAGCAGGTTAGAGGAATACATAATCTAACCTATTGGCGCTGAATTTGCTGAGGCTTTGATTAAAAACACAGCCTTTTTATCTTTACCGCAGGCTGCTTTAATAATATGAAAGACTGGATATATGCAGACATTTTTTCATTTGAAACCAAAGCCAAATCAAATTAAAAAATGTCTCGGAATGCAGACACTTTCAAATCCAAAGCAAAGCCAGAGGCTGATTTATCATGCACGCAAGTCGAAATCGCAGAGGGTCCCATGTTTCAAGGGTTAATCACTAGTTAATTGCAAAAAATAATGAAGATACAGTGGCTATTAAAATGAGGAGGTTCCAAAGGTTTAGATAATATAGCTATTTCATTCCATAAAACCATAACTGAGCCAAAAAACAGAAAGATCTTTGCCAGTTGTTGAAATTCGATGTAGCATATCTTGTATCTATTAAAAATTCAAATTTCTTCTTACAGTTCTTCTTACAGTTTATTCAAATTTCTTCTTACAGTATCCATAGAACACAAAGTGAATTAGATGTAAACGAATCGAAAACAATTACGTCCAGTCTCGAAGGTGTTCGAAATCGAATGACAAGGAGAGGAAGGAGAAGGGCGAGACGCAATAGAAGTGCGATTATAGAAAGACGATATCGATCGAAGTAAACTGAGAACTTCTCACCATTTTACTTAATTATAAAAAAAATGCATTTTTTTTTTCATTTTTTTACAAATGTTTATCGAATAAGAGAATGTGAAAAGATTAATGCGATCTCTTTTTATTTATATTCGGTATTCGAGAATGAATAATGGGATTTCATAATGTCTGAGTGAAACTCGTTTTGAGTGAAATGCGTTGCAAATACTTTTACTTAATTCAGTCAAAAAGATTATGTCCATGAGTTTTTATTGTGTACACGAAGCTTATTTTATTGGACCCCTAAGAACATAAGAAGATAATGGTGAAAGAATTTAATAGTCTTGTATGTTCATAGTCCCGGAGGCACATCAGTAGTTAGCGCGTCGCTCAGCCGCATCACAGCTCCTGGGTCCCCCCAGGCTGGTCTATGTTGACTCAGCCTTTCATCCCTTGAGTGGGTCGATAAAATGAGTACTAAGTTCGTTTGGGGACTGAACATCGGGGGTCCTGCGACAAGCTGACCACTCGTCCAGGGCATATGACGACGCAATCCGGGGCCCAAGATCAAGAAAGCAGATTTCGGGGCACTGCACGCCGTGGCTCACTAGGGCTGTTGCGCCACTGAGTTTAGTTTAGTGTATGTTCATAATTATTAAACGCCCATTTCATGCCATAGTCAACAGTCCTCTCTTTCAAAATAAACTGGGTGTGACGAAGTTGAGGATGTATCCTTATAAAATTCAACTGTTTCATTTATATGAATTGTTTGGTTGCCAATCCTGTTAGTGAACAGGATTTGAAAATGAACCGGGATTTCTAAAAAGTATCGTTTTCTCAGATAAGTACGCGTTCCACGTACATAGTTACACCAACGGTGATAATTGTGAAATTATGAGCTCTGAAAATCCGTGTCTGACATATGAACATATTCGATATTCTCCTACGGCCTGTCTTTTGTGCTGCCTTTTGATCTCTGGCCCTCTTATCAGGGTTTAATACCAATTTCAATATAATATCTAATATCAATTTCAATACGTACTTGGCCGTTCTACAGATCATCTTCTATCCTCAAATCTAGCAAATTGAAATGGAAGATGCTAAATTTTAGATTTTCTTTCAACAAGATGCGGCACCATCTTACTTCATGAATCTTGTGTAAGAGGAGTTGAATCGCAGATTTTTAGGATAATGGATTGGCAAGTACCTATCCGATAGCCCACGAAAATCTAATCATATCCCATTAGACTTCTGGGACATAGACAATAAGGTTTTTAAAAGAAGAGTTTATAATCTTAGCCAGTTTAAGTAAAGAATCATGCACACAATTATAAACGTTATGCAAGAGAGACTGAAAATGAATGTTTAACTTCTCTAGAAGTCTAGCAGTTATAGTATATGTTACTTATAGCAACACTTGTAGTAGCATTTATAGTACACTTGTAAGATACACAAGATTCCTGAAAGGATGTCTAAAATACTTATAGTAACACTTATAGTAATACTAGACTAACACTTATAGTACACGACGTCTGTTAATGTTGCAAACATTGAAACATTAATTTTGTTTTCCACTCTTTTAAGTGACTCAGCAAAAGCATTTCAATCCATTTCACATAATACGTATTTAATAGATATTCTCATGAAATGCCCCCTTCATTCTCAGAGACTTTATATGTAATGTTAAGAGTGATATGACTCATATATGATATCTTTCATTCCCATATTATGTAACAGAGAGTGAGAGCCAGCACTGTTTTTATTCATTAATAATTAAGCACAATAAATTAATTTTCAGAATATCTTAAATCTCATAAAGAATATTCAAATTGTTCAACTGGCAATCAAAGACCATTAAAAATTACAAGGTTGAGACATATTGCATTTACTGACTTTAAATAGCCACAACTCAACCAGGGAAAAGGAGCTCTCAGACCTGGCTAGCTCAAGGCCGCCTTACAACCCTGAAGCCTCCCAACCCTGAAGGCGATCCATGGAAGCATAGCCCCCTGGTTAACCCAGGGGGACGAGAACAGATGGTCTGGGATTGAGCTTAGTTCAGTGAAAAACGAAGATGAATATAATAAAACGACTTCAGTCAATCCTCGAATATTGACCGAGGGGGGCCAAAGCCCCCAGCACAACACAGAAAGGCGGTAAAGGTAGGAGTAATTTTTTTAGGTTGTGAAATAACGGTATACATATAATCATTCAAGATAGTGCAAAATATTTGTAATAAAGACCGTTTTCTAAAATGCTCTTCTATTTGGATCTATTGTTCAAGGCGATGCGGAATTGCTTCCATTATGCATCTGGATATGTCTTATGGAAAAGAATGTACTTCATGCTGATGACAGTTCTCAGTTCATCAGTCACTCACAAACGATGCTGAGACTTCAAGTAGGTAAACCCAGAAGAAATAATCCGGAAATGCTAAATCTGAGGAGAGGGATGTCTAAGATCATATCGTAAAAACAGGAGATCAGACGATTTGACAGTATCCTGTCGGAGTACAGCTGTACTTGTGTTAGCTGTTTCTCGGTTCTGTTGGAAGCAAACTTTTCCACGAGCTGTCTTGCCCGAAATTCTGGCAATCTTCATTGTTCCACCACAATACCATCTGGGTATTGAACCTTTTGAGAGAAGGATTTCGCGATTGGCCAAAGATCCGTGAATTGGGCTAATTGCCTGACTCAGCTCTCCACAAATATAAGTGTGTCTGTCACACATGAGCTACTTTCTGGCAGGATTTCCAACTCATATTGGTAGATGCAAAATGCGAGTCATCCTATATAATTTTCTAATTTCATTTTAATATTATTTTAGACAATAATATATTAACAGTGCATTTCAGCAAACTGTCCCACTTAAAAAAATTAAATTAAGCTACTACCTCGTTGCTATTGTAGTGTATAAAACCCTGGAGCGCTAAACGGTGAAAGCAATGCAGAAGTGTGCTACAGATAAATGTTGCATCCTCAAATGGCTGTTCTCATTTCAGCAGATCAGTCCCCAGAGTAGTAAAAATGTCATATACACTGAAGAAATAAATGTCTGTTTGGAAGAACTATTGATTAGAAATTCTATTACTGTTACACAAAGTAGTTACACAGAGGTTTCAAAATACGGCAAAATAGAACCTCTAAATGTTTGGATTATCGGAAAATTTCAAGATGAAAATCAGTAATATGGACACATAGTATGCTGAGACGAATGTCAGAAAATAGGGCGAAACATGTAAACATGTTATAAGGTTAAAACTCAATCTAGTTATCAATCTAATCTTCTAGACAGCCAAGAAGAATTTTTGTCACTTATTTAACTATCAGAACCAGGATACGAAGTAAATATAACATATATAAAACAACTAAAGATTTATTTTTGACTTCAGGTCTACGTGCAGAATTAAACTAATACACAAACTGATTTTCACTTCCCTCAGGAATATCAGACAATATAATAATAAAATTATTTAAAATTCAAAGATGTCAAATTGAGATCCTAGTACCTAACTCGGCAAACTGCATGGCTTCAATAAAAGAGGAAAACTCAAGAAAGGGGAATCTCACCAATCATTATAAAACTTTTCTGCTCCTGTTGAGCACGAACAACAGCAGAAGTTGTCAGTTCTCTCTCTTAAATTTTTAAGTTCTTACTTGTATTTAAAATTTTTTTCATTAATGTTTTCTTGTCTATCTTACATTGCTGTTGTTTCGTGTACTTCTATACTTTCCTTCCTCATTATTATTAATTTTTTACTAACATATCACTTTTATTATTTTTGTTACGTTTCTCTCTCTTTACTTTTGTGGCGGCCTGAGATTGAGATCCAATAGCTTTAATACTATTCGTCGTTTATTTTTAGTTCCTTTAGTTTCTTTACTTATTTTTACTTCCTTATACGAAGTATTGTCATCGTGAAACATTTCGCATACCATATTTAAACGAAAATATCCATTTTGACCGCTCTTGAACGCATTTGCGCGATGTTTTTGCATGACATCTGTACATACGGACATAATAAAGAACTCTTAATTTTTCCAAGAAAGATTATAAAATGGATTTAATATGAATTCATAAGAAATTTTTTTCGTGATGTCTGTACGTACGTATGTATGTATCTCGCATAACTCAAAAACGAGTAGCCTCAGAACGGTGAAATTTTGGGACTTTTCCGTTTCGCCGGCGCAAGTCTCGCCAAGCAGACTTTGTTGGCGACAGCATACAGTATGCACATTAAAAATGTTAACAAATGTTAGTTCTAAGAATTTTTTATTTTGAAGGCATAAACATTTTAATATGGTTTAAAATTTTGTAAAAAGCCAGTACGTTAAGACAATAAATTTCTAAAAAGACATTAATTTAGAATTTACTATGCTTTCATGGTTCAACATCCTGATTCGCCGGTTCGTATCACGTGACCCCAAGCGATCTCATCTCACGTAAACTACGCTACAAAAAACTAATTCTCTCAGTAATTATCTATATTAATTTCAAGTTAAATCTTAATTTGGAATACAAGTTTAAATGCAAGAGTTATTTCAATTCGTACGAATAGCTTACTCAGAAATTATGTAAAACCGCATTGCTTTACTTCGCTAGTGCATTCTTATTAGAATTGATGAATTTAACCCTTGATTTTGCCTTTTCTATATTTTCGGGTGATTGCATCCTAAGTGACTTAATTACCGCGAATGTTCTTAGGGCATAAAATTGAACTATCTAGGCAAAAATTCTATGTGATTGTATTGAAAGAAACAATCAATCTGATAAGAAATCGCTGCGACTTGTTTTGAAATGAGGCGTAAAAGGTTACCAGCGAGGATATTCTGTTTGGCATCAGTTGTGCCATTATTGGCGACTTTATCGCTTGCGCCGGCAAAAGAGAAAAGTACCAAATTTTGTATACGGGAATGCTGTAACACGTAACTGTGAATCTCCCTTTTTCGTTGCAATCGGTTGCATCAAAAGTTTATATATATATATATTCACTCTGTTACCCGTCTCGGTGAGCTCATTTTTATACTTATGTGTTGGTAAATTGTGAATTTTTTACTTAATCTGCATGCAATAGTAGTAGAACAATCAACAATTTAAAAGTCGTTTAAGTGGCACTAAGCCTATCGGAGCCGCCATTTATTTACATTCGAAACTCTTTAGCAGAAAAGTGAATTAAGTAACATTCTGCACCCGTTTTTGACGAGTGGAACCAAAAGTAAACCTTCAGTTTTGTGCACCGAAAAATCTACCTTCTTGGCCACTAGGCGAATTGCCTGTTTTGCGTAGAAACTCTAATTTTAATTGTAAAAATTTTTTTTTAACTGTTTTGACTGTATTTAGTTTTTTTATGTTTATGTGTAATTTACAATTTTTAATGAAGATGTTTTGAATTTTTATGTATTTTTGCCTTGCCGCAAAGTGAGAACTTAATTAATTGAATGAGAAATATGCCTCTAATTAAATTTGTGGAAATATGTTTAAATGAAATGCAGCAAAAAATGTGTGTAATATAATAGAGCATACAAGGAAGTCATGCGGTGTCCACATCAGATTTTTTAGTTACTCGAGGCCCATGTTACTATTATTTGTTTCTTTTCCCAGTTATTTTGTAAGAATTTGAAATTTTATTGCGTCGTATGTGGAAGGGCGCGGATGAATCGCTGAAAGTCATAAATTGCGGTGTCAATTGGATGCATTTTATTATAATTATAGGGTCGATTTTTCTACCAGGTGGATTAAGAATGCACTTTACATAGATCCCTATTATTTCATCGAGACAATAGGTGCATAGGATAGATTTTAACATAAGCAAAAACGCATTGATTAAAATAAACCTCACAAGGCGTTTCGAAGAAAAACACATTTTCAACATTTCATGTAATAGTAAATCATGTTCCCACTTTCAACATGTCATTTAAACAGTTTCTTTACGGTTTAATTATTAAACTGAAAAAAAACAAATGATGTATTAAAAAATGGACCATGCTGGGAAACCCCCGATCTGATGATAAAGAAAAGGCATTGGGGGAGAGAAATCAAAAATTAAAAATACGGAAAATATAGAATTTTAAGAATATTGAGGTCAAATAATCAATTGAATACATCAGTATTCAATTTGATTTTTTTAAATGATTCCCGTTTCTGCTTTCTTTCAATTATAAAAAATATCGAAAACAAAGTAATAGAGAAACGATTAAAGATGATCTGACTGTATATTTTGTATTTGAAGTAGCAGTGTCTATGTTGTGTTAGAGCCCATGTAGGCTATGTTGTGTTAGAGCATGCAGGCATTTTGTTGTGTTTAGTTCGTTATAACATGCCAGGAGGCAGACATCAGTATATACCAGATATCAGGATGAGGGTATTACTTCTTTTCAACCAGCATAAAGGAGGTTTTAAAGTGTTATATGAAAGCTGAGAATATGTGCAAAGACGATGGTGAACAGAATCTGATATTATGCCACAGTGATAGATATACCAACTGCAAGAATTTATTTATTTTGACTAATAGTTAATTTTTACTTAATGAATTTTCCTACCAGAATGTTAATCAGTTAGCGTGTGGTTATTCAAATTAAGGGTTCTCCCTTAAAGTGTAAAGAAGTTGGTTTTAGAGCGAGTTATGCCCGCTTGAAGGCCACATTATTACCTTGACTTACAAGCGATTTGAGCGCTATGTGCTTCTAGCCATTAGACTTGATCTGCCGACTCCTAAGAATCAGAGCCTTCCTGCGCGATTAAATTATCCTGTCAGCCATTAGGTTAGTTTAATTACATTTTATTTTAAGTTACATTACTTGTTTAAGTTAAGCCAGAAGTGTAAACTCAAGTGGGATCGTCTTTGAAACTCTTGTGATTGAACAAAGTGGCATTTACACCCTTCTTCTGATTTTGTCTCTATCCTAAAACCTGAGGGCAATTCCTCTACAGTCTTTCTAGAGCTCGTTAGTTTATGATACCAAAGAACACTAGATTCTATAGTTACAAGATTATGTGACAAACAGAAAGAAGTGGGCGAAACTCCAGAACTTCATCAATGGTTTAGCAATCACAGCGATAACTGTACAACTCCTTCCAAATTTTGAAGAAGTACACCTCGAAAGACTGTTTTGAGGGTCCCCACTCGTCTCCTCCTGCCACCTAACCTCTCGAAAGGAGTTTCATCTCACCAATGGGCCCCTAAGCCGCACAGACACTATACACTTAGAATCATCTAACCTCTCTCTGGGATTTGAACACAGGCCCAACCATATGCCAGCCAGCGTATTTATCACTATACTGTTCAGGAAGGCAGAGATTATGTTATAAGTTTGTCGGGGAAAGAATTGTATACGGTCTGAAGAAAGGTTGATGTAACAATAAGAGAACAACAACGTATGATGTAGAAAGACAGTGTACAGAGTTTCAGTGAATACTCCAGAAAGCCACGAACACTAAGACATACCACTGGGATCATAACATTGAGATATACCATTATACCATACATGAGACATACCATTGAGATCATTTCTTCTCATTGAAATCATAATCGTTGTTTATCGATCTGTTTTGCAGCGTTGAAGATGAAATATTGCTGTCAGTTGCGGTCATCTAAAATTTTAATCTATGTGACACTATAAAAATTAGCACTTATTGTTATTAGTACATAACAGCAGAGCTATTAACGTTAAAAGAGAGTAAACGTTATTTTAGGACATCCCGAATACGTTTGCATAGGATTCTTGCCAAAATTTTTATGCGATCGCAAGTTTTGTTAAAAAAAAAATGACTTAAAGCAGAAATACCTTACGGTTGAAACATATTGTTACGGATTTTACGGTGTTTAAATAGCTAATGTTAGTAGAATTATAAATTAAATTGTTTTATTCCCCGTGCGGTGCAGCGCGTGACGAATACTATGAAAAAGCTAAGCCGAAAAATTAAAAATACAAGAGCACGTGCATTTAATAAACAAATTTCTGTTTTTGATTTCGAGAAATTTCTAGGAAAATCTCGCGCGTGATTTAAAAAGCTTATAAAAAAGGAAGGAAATCTCTCAGTTCAGTGAGTAAAGTCAAGAATAATATATTGGTAAAGGCCGCAATAGGCCGATTGCCTCTTACCCGAACATAAGACATAAGACAGTTCAGCGAGTTGTTGTTTTAAGAGTTTGTTTAGAAAACTGTTTTTGTTGACTGTGGCGAATTCGCGGATTAGCTTTCTCTAGCTGTTTTGAATTATCTGTTGAACGTTTGAGTAGTTAAAAGATAACTACTGTGAGATATTGTAATACTGTACGAAAATCTGAGGAAATTTAAGCATTTTTTATATTTATTTGTGATAATAATAAATCTTGTTAATTTTTTAAATCGGAATTGTGCATTCAATTCATAACGAACCCTTACGCACGTAAAATATTTTAAAATTCATATCAAAGAAAATAGTATAACAATATTTTTAGTTACATTAGTTTGCGAAACATATCTTCAACCATAATGAAAGAAGAAATTAGGTTGTAATAAACACAAAGATTCACATTTGATAAAGTAAATCGAATCCAGAAACATGCATTTAAGTTGTGATACTGATTAATTTGAGCTGAATTTCTAAGACTAACAATAGTTATCATTCTTTTATCTTCATTTTTCTGGAACACATGACATAAAATAAGGATATTATTTTGTGATGCAAGAAAACTAAAAATTCCTTTCAATTTTCTTTTATATGAATTCGAGTTTTTTATGGGTATCATAAATATTAAACCCAGAGTTCCTTTTTTTTTTTCGTTCCAGAACAAGAAGAAGGCTGAGAAATTCCAACAGAAATATCTCCAACAGTGCAAGCAGAAGCAGAAGTAAAAGCAGTATCCAATCGTAATTTAATGAAATAAATAGACTGTTTCTTAGAACGTACGAAATATGAACTGAAATTAAAAAAAATTATCTTAAATATTAGTGTACTTTCTTTTTCTTTGAGGGTGTGAGCTGGGGTTTGAGCCCGAATCCAACTATCAGGGTTCATAATAGTCTTAGTGACTGGCGTGCTAACCGCGACTTAGTGACTGGCGTGCTAAGCCATAAATCAGCGTTTCTTAAACTGTGGGTTGCAACCCCCAGGTGGGTCACGGAATCTGCAGCAGGTGGTCATCAAAAAATTTAGCAGTTTTGATATTTCTTTTAACTTATTATAATAATTTTATAATTACCAAATATTTTTACACAATGTATGTGAAAATAGATAAAGATAAAACAATACAGACAAGGTAAAAACGAAAACATTTTGATGCATTCTTTTTATATTAGAAACGTTCATTTGACTTGCTTTGCACGTGACGCTGTCATTTCATCTATTATTTATTTAAAATTCTCACATTGTTCTATGTCTTAAAATTAGAAATTAGAGTTAATGACCTAAAACTGCAATAATATATTACGGTACAAGGTGAAAAAAATTTACAGTTTCCCTCACGCAAGTGCAAGTGAAAAAATTGAGAGTTTCACACAAGCGTGTGTTGGACTTGAGCAATGTTTATGGGGTCTCACAAAATTTTCGTAACTATTATGGGGTCCTGAAGGTCTCGAAAAAATCTCAGTGATAAAAAGGGGTCGCGATTGAAAAACGTTTAAGAGGCCCTGGCATAAATGAATGCAAGGCTATAAATTTATTTTCATTCGTTAGTGATTTGAAGTCTTCCATTTTAAATAATCTCGAAAAATCTGTCACAGCATGTTGGTCTTGAGTGGCTTTTTAATTGAAAGATCATAACTTTTTTGCATGGCTTTATTTAGTTTGATTCTGTGCTTGTTGCTAGTTCGTTCATGTGGCTCTGTTGGTTTATTAGTTTATTAGTCATATAAAAGTCATTAGTTTATTTTAAAACAGGAGACGTAAAAAATGTGCAGTGCCCTGTCCAAAACTAGAACCCTGGACTTCTCGAATACGCATCGGGTATGCTTGCAATTGCTCCAGGAATGCATGCGAAAAGGAGGGAGAAAATTCCTTATATACTCCCCCTTTTAAAGGGCGACTGGGGATTAGGGAATCCAATCGCAAAATCCCAGTGTTGATGAATTACCATCCATCATTTTTTTTTTTTTTTTTTTTTTTTTTTTTTTTTTTTTTTTTTTTTTTTAGTTCGGACGCCACTTGTAGAGTCATTAGAGTTTTTGTTGCTGTAGAAGTGAAAAATGCGCGTTGCCTTGGCCGAGACTTGACCCCTGGACCTCTCGAATACGCTTCGAGTACGCTCCCAATTACACCACGAATGCATGCGGAAATAAGGGAGAAAATACCTTATAGGTAAGATCTCGAAATTGATTTTGGACCTTCTTCTACCTAGCCAATTACCTCGAAATGTTTCGCACAGTTTTCCCAAATTCGATATAGACTTTTTTTTTAAAGTTAAATGTAGAATTTTTTCACATATTCTTAATGATCAAAAAAATTTCAGTCATTGCAATATGGCAGCGGTTCTCAACCTTTCTTCTTTCGCTTACCACTCAATAATAATACATTGCAATTTTGGAATGTATTTTACTTTTGTATTACTTTAATCTTCCAAAATTCATAGATTATAATGAAAGAGGTAAAAAAATACAGAAAACGACTGATTATGACAAAATTTATTTCAAATAAACATATTTTAACCAATGAATAACATTTGTCTCTCTATTTATTTTGAACATGAGCTTTTGTAAAAAGGGAATGCGGAAAAGATTTAATTGATGAGTTTATTAAGTATATTTGAGGTCTAGTCCTATCCTTAAAACCCTAAGCATTCTTGAAACAGTGTTAAAGCGTAGTAAAATATTAAAAGTTTAAAGTGAACAGAATACATAACTTCGTTCATACTGGGTTTAAGATAAAAATTAAGACATAATCTGTAAGAAAAAGTAATATACCTTATGTACGCACTAATGTACACTAATCTAAAAAACAAATGGCGTTACGTATCTCCGAAGTTCTACGATAATTCTTTTTGAGACAAGCAGCATCTAAAATTCTACAAATAATTGTTCAAGGATAATTCTATGATCTAATACTCCATCTAATTTTAAAAAAGGATTTATTAAAATACCAAACAAATTAATCTAATATAGAATCTAATCTAATGTTACATCTCATCAGAAGCATTGAAGCTGCATCAAACGAATCGAAAGTCAAATTCTCACTGTTGCCATTCCGAGGCCGAGAAAAGTTTCTATTGAAACCAGAACACCTTACAATTAAATAAAAATGAATAACATAACAAAGCACTGCTTATCAAAAATCAACAAAACCGTTACACAGCAATTTTAATAAGATAAATTTGAAATGTTGTTTAAGTTTCGTGATTAATGTGATATTTGTGCCTGTCGTTCTGCTTAATGTTTTGAAGCCAGAATCAAATTTGGACAGGTTAAGTGAGAAACAGCATTTAGTGTAATTGTTTTTAATATACTTGAAAAAGGAAAATGCTCTTTCCATAAGTTTAAATGGCAACAAAAGATGTTAATACCTTGTCGCTAATTTCTTCGTGTTCTTCTCTTATTGGAATCATAAAAGACGTAATATGATTTTTCTAAAAACAACAAATACTATCTTTGCATCCCCCAGGTGCATAAAATACATAAAAAATTTGCATAAACCTGCGCACATTTTTCGCAGCCAACAGAAACCTGATGTCAATCAACGGTAGACTAATTCAGATTGTATTTGAAAGCATTTATTACTCAAAACTGATTATTTTAAGGTCATGCATAACCTGGCATAAAAGAAGTAATAAAATCCTTAATTAAAATTTGAATATGCATAAAGTAAATATTCATAATTAAAACAATAAAATTATTAGCATTATTAACTAAACGCATAGTTTTGTATAAATTGCGTTAACTTTTATTTATGAATGATATTTGTCGAGCGCATTTCTAAAAGGTTTAGAAAAATAACACGATTACTATCATCTATCGCTCACTGCTCCATTTATAATGCGAAACCGTAAATAATGTCAAAACAATTCAAACTCTGACCTGCATAGGCCATGATTATGGCAGTACACGGCAGTTACCGTGATCCTTTCCGCGACTTTTTTAAGTGTTTTTTTCTTGAAGTTACATGAACGTCTAATTTCCCTTTCAATTAGAATATGAGATATGTGCAGAACACCTCATCTTTGAAAAAACATTTTTTCGCTTAGTTGGCAAAAAATTAATGATTTCTCTTCAACTCGACTACGTTTTAGAAGCTTTCAATTGCATTAGAATGTAATACTGTCGTCTTGTAGATAATTGGTGACCAACAGACTTAATGGACATCTACTTACGTACTTCAAATTAATAATACCTATTTAAATGGGTATTTAATCTAACATTACATTATTTTAAAAGTTTGAATAAGTATTTAATTCATATAACTACTTAAACTTCGTGCACAGTTCGCAAGGATAACTTATGAGATGATCCTAAATTATCTTAAACTTTAATATTATCAGCGGGCAGTAACCATGAGGTACTGATGTTCTTCGGCTTACACTCAATTAAAAATTATATACAAATTTAGTGCAGCGCTTAATACTCACGTATTTGTTGACAAGAAGTGACTATCATTCTGTAGGTACCCAGCGACCATTTCCTGATGGTCACCTTTCTTTTAATTTTGTTTTTATAACCTACTAAATTAAAGGGATATAATTATTTAATTAATGGGATATAATTTTAAACACATATAATACGCGACAAATAAAATTACTAACTTTTATAAGCATTTCTATCATTATTTTAATTACTAAAAGATGTTTCTGACGCCATATATTGTGTACCTTTCATAGAATCCATTACGTTTTTTTATATATTGTATTTTATATTTTTTAGTCTGTTGCATGTGGAAAAAATAATGAAGAAAGAAAATTACTCTCTACTCTAATTCAATTCAGTTCAGAACTGTAAATTCTACATCAGAGAAGATAAAATCCCAACTTAGAGAATTTGAGGAGATTGCCGGCATATTTCCTCTTGTTAAAAAAGTCAAGGCTGTGACAATTTCGAATACGGTAGTTTTTATGAAGTTCTGTGGTAAATAGTGGAATCATGTTAAGAATCTGAGTGAAGTTTTCACAAGAATAAAATCAAGTTTTAACGTATGGTTAATGGCAAGGTAGGATGTATACAAGAGGGGTGGGATGCCTTCGGACTCGTTCCTCGGGGACCACCCTTGGAGTTTTCCTCCATGAAAACTGGAGTGAAGCTGTGCAAAGTTTTACGCTGTATGATGTGCAAGTCCCGAGCCAATGACAGACGTAATCTCTCGCTCTTTGTCACGATAAAACTCGTGGAATTGTTCTGAATAGGTCAGGCAAGTGAGATAAGCCACAATAACAATTTCTAATTTTAGTGGAAAAAAAAAAGCTTCCTAAACTTTGTGCTCCATTAAGCAAGTAGAATTTTCATTTGTTTTACTAATCCGAATAGCAGTCTAAAAATCTACTTGCATAGCAATGATTGGCATGAAAGTGCCGGCACCTTAAAGCGATTGCTTCTTAGAAATCAAAAACTGATCTTCCATAAGAATTCAAGTATCTTTACTCTGGAACCATTCTTATGAAAGTTTCCTATTTTTTCAAATAGGTGCCGATTTGCATAAAAATTGCACCACTAAGAAGTGGTCACATACCATCCTGGTTTTCATGGTTGCTCCCTTTGGAAATTGTATTTACGCTTTGTTCTTGTTCTTTATTCCCGATTTCCAATTGCTGTTGCTATGAAGGATTATGGATCTCTCTGACCACATTTGGAAGTGTTGTTTCAGTTATCAGAGAAGAGAATGATATGATTACATATTCCATATTACAATAAACTTTCCTAATGCAGATTTCCACAAGAGATGTTTCCAAATTTCTAGGAATTTAGTCATAGTTTTTTTTTTTCAGTTTTCATCAATATTACAGTACAGTGTTTCCAATAAAATCTTCATTC